ATCCTTCAGCCTCATTTTGACCTGTTGTGATTTTTGGTGGTAACATTTGCTTTGGCCCAATGTTACAATGGCGGCGCCCGCCGCAATTTGCTAGTAGAGCATAACAGAAGAGAAAAAAAGTTTTCAAATAAGTTCAATGAGGAAACTTATAAAGAATGAAGTCTGAGTTAGAGAGAGAAAGAGACGTACAGTAAGGGATTAATTTACCATAAGGTTCGTCCTTATTCATCACGAATCCACCAGTGATTTCAATTCCAGCATCTTTGTCAACAACCTCAGCAGGGATTGGGACCATGTTAACGTGGCCTGGTGGTTGAGCTACGTCAGGAGAAGTAGGAGGCTGGTGCGGGGTGGTTTCTTCTTCGTCGCTAGAGACTTGGTCGTAAGATCCGGTCTCAGAGGAGGTTTCAGGGTTAGAATCAGCTTTACCAGGTTCATCGGTGATCAGGTTGATGGTGGTATCGGCAGTTTGATCAACAACTTCATCCGCAGACTTGTTCAGAGCCGGAGGTGAGCTCATTTCTTCATCCAAATCGGAGATAAGGGTAGTAGTTGAAGTTGAGGGAACTTTAACAAGTTGGGAAGTAGCGTCAGGAAGGGATAACCTAGCAGTCTTACGCTGTTTAGAAGCACGGCGCGCCATTAAAGGGGTATCAACCTCGCTGTGTTTGCGAGCTGAGCTGGACTTGGGCTTTCTGGCTGAGGTTTTCTTGGAAGCTGGAGTTGAGGCTGCCATTGGATTTTAACTAGCTTGAGGAAAAGATTTAGAGTCCAAAGTAGTGATAACATGTCAGCTTTTATGTAAGTAAGGAATCTAATAGGAAGGGTTCTTAGACTTACCGATGTCATTTCAATCAAAGGGTTTGAGTTCTGAACTGAAGGTTGAGTTTGAGAGGAATAACCTATATGTTCAAATCAGAGTGGTTTGAAACATTCCGGATTAGCATAAGTTCAATTTGATGAAATGGGTGGGCAGTAGATTTTTTACTTACTATTTGTTTAGTTTTGATGTTGGGTGTTTCTTTATGAAGAGATTTCTTTAACGGTACGGAAGAAAGAACTAGTTTTGAGACAGAGAGGTAATAGATTGAAAAGAAGACCAGATGATTGTTAGTTCTAATCTACGGTAGAGGTCTTAAAGGTAGAGGGAGATGTATTGAGGAAGATAGAAGGTTCCTACATTAAAATTTGATCTAGTAGAGGTTATCAGTCGGGTAGAACGAGTGATGTGGCTAGAGATTGGCTACTGGTAGTTGATCTGTGAAGTAAGTGATAGAATTCAAAGTTTGAAACAATGAGCACGATGTTGCCTAGCTAATGAGGGAACTGAGGATTTGAAGAACTCACCAATAGGAGGCCTTTATATATCGAATCAGTCCTGGTTCATCAAATGGCGCTTCGTTTGGTTGAGTGAGGTAAGAGTTTCTAGTGTAAAGATTACCTAGTGAGATACTTAAAACCAATGTACAATGTAGTTTTTGATTTGGATTAAAGATTCAGTTAGATAAGGAATAGGAGAGAGGATCTGTGTCAATTGGATGGAATCTAATGGAGAGACAATCAGCTGTTGAATGAGGTGATAAGGAAGAGAGATGTCTTGATAGTTCCTTTAGTCTAAAAGTTTCAAGGTAGCTTTCGAAATAAGATATCAGTAAAAGAATTAAGTAGGTGTCTTGCTTTATTATACAGTACTAAGAAAAGATATTTGGGCTGATACAGTCACGTGGTTTTATGAATACCAGAGAGTTATGAAAATAACTTCTAGATGAGTTTTGTGATGTGAAAGTGAGTTGTCTTCTTTGGTTTTATGAAGTTCATTGATAAGATATTGTTCCGTTCAGAGGATGAGGTATGATCCGTGACTGGCATTTTGAGATAAGAAGTTAAAGCACCTAGTTGAAGAGGTCGATAGAAATTGAAATGATGTTTGTACAAGTGGTTTATTGACCTATTCACGTAAAGGGAGAGACTTTTATTAATGAAGTGATCATGGTCATCCTTTTGATTCATTCATTAATTCAGAGAATGTATTTGAGGGAGTACTTACATAAGGTACTAAAGAATTTGAAAGAGTTGAGGGTACTAGAGTATCCTAATAAAGGTGATCAATTCGGAAGAGGAACCGTGAGTTATTGAGATGGTGTATCTATCTCTCCAAGTTCCTTCTCGTACAAGTATAGTAAGGTAAGATGAAGGGCCAATTTGATGGTTGATACCCACGTAGCGTGGCCAGGTATTGTGATTGGCAGTTGACATAAGGATCCGTATCCTCCAATCGAGATTTGAGAAGTTAAGCTATAGGTGTTCAAGCTTTGAGTTAGTAGGTGAATGATGAATTATCCTATTTAGGTAAGTGATCTTTCGTTCTTGAAGTTGAATAGATGATGTTAATGATAATATGAGATTCGATTAAGTTAAGTAATATCAAAGGGATTATGTAAATTTGATCATTGATCTGTCCTGATTCGATCCGATCTTGATAGCTCAGTGTATTTATATTCGAGTTCAAGCAGTTGTCATCAGTAAACGGATATTGAGTGTTCCTTTAAGTTGATCCAGGAAGATAGTTATGAGCTGTCAGGTGATTTGTTCGGAAAGGAGTAGTGGTGGAGGGATATGATGGTGTCGAGTGGTTGATACAAAGACTTACGTAAGTTTCTCCGGCACGGAGATAGCTGAAACTCGTGATTGGTATGTGTAAGAGGCGGATAGGACTGTCAGGGCTGTGTAAATCCCTGATACTGTTGAAAGAGGGTACCGGTACGTATCATTCGTACCGGTAGTTAGGTTTGAATCTATGATACTGTCATAGTGTACAGATGTAAACCCTAGATAGGGTGGATTTACAAGTACTGTCGTGTATTTGTGAGTATATGAGGTCACCTCTTCAAATCCGGGTTTCAACAGAGTTTCTATAAGCATATTCTCGGGGTCAGGGCCAGATTTGAAGGGTCAATGGTTCAATTCCGCCTCACTGTATGTGTGTACATAGCTATTTCGTAGCCTGGTATGGTTTTTGGATGTCACATGATATGTGTATTCCAGTATTTGGATATGGTACGTGTTCTGGCTCCCTTTATCCTTGCTGATATATGTAAGTTAACATGTATACAGGGCACTTTCATATGTATTACATATACCTGAAGGTGTTATTATACGTATTTTACAGTTTATATGTCATTATGTAGTTTTCTTTAGAAGTTTGCATGAGATCATAGGTCAATCACTATGGTTTTTAATTGCTAATACATATACTTGTGGGCATATATTTTGGAGTTTGGGTGGACATTGCATTTATGTTTTGTGTGTACAATATGGCTGTTTTATTGATATAAGGTATGTAGTCTGTTTATATGTCTGACAAGATGTGTAAGTGACATGTATAGATTTGGTTTACTTATGGTTTACACATAGTTTTGATTGTAGTTTTATTGCAGGTGGAATTTGTTTTATTGTGGTGAATATCAGACATAATTGTGATGGTAGAGTGCCCAACCTCATTGTGTATCCTGAAACATGTAATCACTTATATGTGTAACATATATCTGAAGGTGTTATTATACGTATGTTACAGTTCATATTTCCCTATGATGTGTTTCATGTGAAGATTGTATGAGGACTGGGATTGATCACTATGGTTTTTCAATTGATACTACATATACATATAGTTGTAGGAATATATGTTTGAGTTTGGGTGGTTATCACATATATGTTTTGTGTGTACAGTATGGCTGTTGTATTGATATAAGGCATTTAATTATTTCAGAAGACTGACAAGATGTGTAAGTGAGATGTGTAATTTTGGGTCATTAATTGTTTATGTGTGGTTTTGATATGGAATTCTTATTGCATGTGGAACTGGTTTTATTGTGTTGAATGTTCTTTTTGGGGTAATTAGGTATAATTGTGATGTAAGGTCGTACAATGTTTGGTATTGTGCTAGTGTTCTGCATGCATTTTATGTGTAGTGTGCTTATCAGACTGAAGGATGTTTGTCAGCTGCTTCATATTCTCTGTTTCATAATATATTGTTCTAGAGGTATTGAAGAAACATGTGATTCATTTGTGTAGTAACTTAAGTAATACCATGATAGGGGCACAGGTAATCTCCCATGTTGTGTCTATGTGGTTCCATATGTAATTTTATATAGTGTTTTTGTTTTTGAAAGAAACTGTTGTTTGGCGTGGTTCCATATGTAATTTATATAGTGTTTTTGTTTTTGAAAGAAACTGTTGTTTGGCGTGGTTCCATATGTAATTTTATATAGTGTTTTTGTTTTTGAAAGAAACTGTTGTTTGGCTTGAGGAATTGTTGATTAAGCCATTCTGTTCATCTTTGTTTGTGAGTTTTAAGGCGTGTTAATTAGCTTATATGTTATATGGAAGTGGTTCTCTGTATGTTTGGTGGTAGATTTGTTGGGTGCAGTATGTGTTACCAGAGTCTAACTGATACTGTATGTTTCATACCACATAAGAGATTTCTTTTTGAGAGATTCATATTTTTGTGCTTATGTTTGTTTTTGGATAATACAAAGGTTTGCAAAGAAACATGTGGTTTAGTTGGATAGTAACATATGTAATGTCATATTTGGGGTCAAAGGTAGTTGTACTTGTTTGTGTGTGTATGCCAGTAGTTTCAGGGTTTTTGTCTCAAAGAAACAGTGTGTGGTATGGAATGTTGTTGATCCAACCTTTCTTTAAATTTGGGAATTCTTTTAAAGATGTGTACATTCTCTAACTTGTATGTCATAAGTCTGTGGCTTTTGTTTTTGGATTGTAGATTTGTTAGGTGTAGTATGTAATATCATGTTCTTCCTGATATTATATATTGTGTATCATATATCAAAATGACTATCGTAAGATTGTATAACTCTGTAGTTTGGATAATGAGTCATGTTGATGATCTTTTGGTGTATGGGTTGTCCCCTATTTTCAGATCTTATGTGTGACAATGGTTTGTTGTTGATATGGCTTGATTTGAGATGTTGTTTTTTGCATTTCTTTAGTGTCTTATCAAAAATTAACATAATGTTATTTGTAATGTGATGTTGTGATCAGTCAACATTTAGTAACAGTATCTCTTCACCCATATACACAATTTGTTATTTGAGTTTGTGTATTGGAGGAAGTAGATACTTTTTGAAACAACAAAATGGGGCATAGGGCATAAGGACATAAAAACATAAGAAAAGGCATGGGGGCATATGTTTGGATAAGGTTATACTTTAACCTTCCCTGTTTTGTTTGAATTTGGTAACACATATCTTTTGTTAGAATGTGTGAAACACATTTATTCTTACACGTTATTGTACATATATCTTGAAGAGTGGGGTATTTGAACATCATTAATAGTCCTATGTGGGCCTTAGTTATATGCTTTTAGGAATCTAAAATGTTTGTGTATTAAGTTAAGAAAATGTGCAATTATCTGTGTTTCTGTAGTATAGTCTTATTATTCTGTGTAATCAGAATAATTATGATTTTTGTCCCATGTGCCTTTAGTCTGTATGAATAGATAACCTGGTCAAGTTATATTATATTACTAGAGGTGCCTTTTTCAAAACCTTTTGGTTGTTCTGAACATTCTGCCACCTAAGCATATATATACATAACACAGGATGTCCGAGTTATCCTGTATAAAATAAGTGAAGGAAAATAGAGTGTTATGTGGTGAGCAGTCAATTTGCTGATGCTATATGATATTGACATAGGTGCTTGTATCAAACTTTTCAGTTA